CAGCAGAACTTCCTGTCTGGTCTCATTTGGTCCAACTTTTCTTAGCTAAGCTGAATAGTATAAAGTATCCAATCTAATTAATGGATTTATTATACTTGATATTCTCTCTCCTTGCTATAATAATGACTACTTTGTTACTGACTTCATTTCTTTATTAAAAAAAGGCAAGGAAATTGGGATATAATTGCAGAGGTGTTACTGTGAACTCTGGCATATCTAAAAGCATGCAAGAAGCAAAGAATTTTTTTTAGTAGGAAGTTCTTGAACTAAAACCTAATTAGGAGTGAGGTAACTAAATTAGACACAGTTTAAAAATGTGAGTTTGAATGTTTGTTGAAAAAAATTATATTAGCACTGATTGTGGGAATTTGGCAGGCAAAGACACCCGAGGAAATGATGTAGGTGAAGTGAGAAATACAAGCTTGGGAAGACATTGTAAGAGCAGAGAAAAAAAGTAGAAAATATATTTTATTAATATCATTTCACATTTTTACTTGGCTCAAATAAATATTTATGTTCTAATATTAATGCAGTCATATCTATTGTAACAGACTATGTTACACTTTCTGGTACCATCACTCTATTTGAGCAGTTAAAATCATTCTTTGAGTATTTTAGATTGAAAGTTTCAGTGCCTGTTCAAAATCTGATTCTTCTAGATGATTTGGATAAAATAATTCCCTTTCAGAAACATTTATAGTTGTCTTTCCAGCATTTGGAGGAAAAAAAAGTTGTTATTTATTGACTGAATAATAAGAGCTACTTCTGAAGTATGTCCACTTTCAGTTTTCAAAAATTCTAGACTATGCTCGAATCCTTCAAGTAGGTTATTATCTGCAGCAAGGACACAAAGATGGTATTGAAAATAATTTATTCAGAAAGCTGACAATGCAGCAGGAGACTAATCATCAGGATATGTGTCTCTGTTTCTAACACCAGGCATATTATCCCTTATTTTTGCAATGCAAACAATTGGCAGCTGTGAGAATTAGGGAGAACAGCCAATGTAAAATAAAAAGAATGAAACCCACGAAACTGAAGTGGTTTTGGAAACATGTTTCAGAGTGCTTATGTGTTATCTTTCAAATCAATGAATCCTGGAGATGTGTGTTTTATTCTGTGCCAAGAAATGAAATAATTGTCCAATTTGAAGAGAATCAAAATGACAATAAAGTATATATTTGAATGAGAGAAGAAACTTTTCTTCTCTCTTGGAATTTAAGTATAAAGAACAATGCCTTGCCTACCCATCCTCAGTTCTTGGAAAAGGTAAACTTATTTTTTTAAGTGTATAAATGCTAAAATAATGAAACTATCCAAGCCTCTCTGATACTCTTCTCACTGCTTTAAAATCATCAAAACAACACTCAAACAAAACTGACACTGGGAAAAAAAAGTGTGAAGTGTAGAGCCTGCAATCTGCAAATGAGAAAACTCCAAACCTCACCATCTCCCGCCTGATCTCATTGTTTTTCACACTTATTTATTTTTCCCTTTTACAAATGTACCAGTGAAAGGATTTGCGTAGGTTATTTGAAAACAGAACTCGGTGACGACATTTATTCCTCCCAGAATCTGCTTGGATGAGGATGACAGGGTGTGAAATTATAGCCTGCTGCTTCTTCAGCTGTGCCTTCAGCTCCAGCTTGGGACTTCAGTTTACTTCCAGCTGTTTTCCACCCAAAGTAAAATGTTTCCTGGCCATGTGCTGCCTCTGTTTCTGTCAAGTGGGGTTAGGAACTGGTGTTGAAAAGATGATATAGTGCTCTTTACCTCCTGGAAATTCTTTTCTGCAATGAGCCATCCTAAAAGGCCAGCTGTGCCCAGCCACACAGCTGTTTCACACAGAAATAATAGCTTCAAGCTCTTTTGTCAAGGCCAAGAATCAGATCCTGTAAATTCATGAAAGATGAATGCTACAGTAAACTCTAGGAACTTTTTTTTTGTATAAAAAAGATTATAAATAATGTAATAAAAATGAAGTGCTTTGTAGGTGACAATGAGCTTTATAGGTATGTAATGCCACATTTAGTGCTATTCCTTTATGTTTGTATTCCAATCAGCCAGTACAGTACCCAACCTAACCTCCAGGAGGAAATTATATATTCCGTTATTCCTTATAGGGCAATAAAGCCCTTTATTTATGGCAAGCATTAGTTTTGTTGTCACAGTGACAGAATTCATGTCTTAGCAGTGTATCAAGGCTTTCCTTCCCTCTTTGTAATGGTTATCCCTAAAATTGTCCTGTCCTCCTGTTGCCAGAACTGCACATGTGGTTTATCTGTCAGCATTAGGAAGAAGGCTCTCAGACACAGTTTCTTTTCTCTCTCTAGTCAGATATAACAGAAGAGGCACAAAATTCATAAGAAATTCACCTTTTTTTTTAAACTTGTCTCACTTTTTTCTAGTTCCAGTTCCAGCCTGCTGATTCCATGGTTGTGGTTGACACTAGATTATTGTAAACTCACCCAATTATTGTGCGGTGTCATGGACCCCTTTTATGAGAAGTGTCTTTTCTCTAGCGCAGTTTTCCATCTAAAGTGTTTCATCCTCTTCATGAAACTGATGTTCTGTAACAGGAAATGTTCAAATATTGCCTGTGAAAGTCCTCATGCTGAGCATGCACAAATCAGAGGGGCAATTAGAAAATTGAAGTATGATTATGTGATTTCAAAAGCCAAGCGTAGGCTACAGCCTGAGAAAAGCAAGTAATTGTAAGACTAAAGGCAGAGGTAGCTATAGGTTGTGTACCCACGTTGAACTGATCTGTCCTTTGTTCTAGACTGAAATGAGAATTTGGATTGCTATACTTGGCCTACAAAGTGTGAAATGAATGGGCACAAGGAATTATTTCATTAGCAATGGTCCAGGACAACTCTCTGATATTAGAATCCAAACTTTTTAATAAAAATCTCTGTTAAGACTACAAGAGGCAGGAAACAATTGTATTTTAATGGACAAAACTGTTTATAGAACCCTTTATTTTAATAAAATTCTATGTGAACTGTATCAAACTCCTTTTAGTGTTGAAGAAAATGAAGGGTTAGCAGTCCTAGATTATGAGAAGTAGAAAGAAATTCATAACTGTACCTGTGAATAATTCAATTTCAGCTGCTGTGGAGCAAAGCTCAGTTTTTCTTTAGTGTTGCATGGACTTGTGATCTTCTAAATGGAGGAGAAAAAATGAGGGCACTCACTTCCTTGTGTGATGTCAGATAAAATAAGACTGAGCTTAATTTATTATGTCTTATAAACAGATGCTCCTGCATATGGGCATGTGTTTGTGTATTTGTGTACTGATACATTTTAAGAAATGATTGCCCTCTTGGTAATTGTTGTGAATAATTATTTGTGAAAAAAGATTCCATTTTGTAGGCACCTAAGGTTGTTATTCATCTCTTCAAACAATTCTCTTCAGTTCCCAGTTCCACCTTTGAATTCCCACCTAGCCTTCTCCTTTTTCCTGGTGTCAAGTAGCAGCAGGCATGTCAGCATTCAGGAAGGTATCGTCACACAGTTCTTTCTAATTGCCAACACTGAATAAATTCACATTCACTTATATCTGTGAAAAACTCACAGATTGTGCTTGCACAGTTGAGCTTGGACTATCTCATCCATCTCAGATTTTGCTTTCTCACCTAGCTGGAAAAACTCAGAATCCTTTCCATTTCTCAAACTGGAAAATAGTTCATTTTCATTGGGGGAAGTGTTTGAAAGGGAATATACAATGCCCTTCCAAGTCCAGATAGTCTGACCAAGTTCATCAAGTATTTTGCACTTGTCTTCAAGAACGTTTCTAACCAGCAGTTCACCAGGTCAGCTGAAAACATGAGGCAAAACCCCCCCAGAGCAATATCAGCACAGTTAATCTTCTGTAAACAGCTTTCCTTTGGAGGATTGCACAGAAAGACAAGTGGTTACTAAACCATGAGAAAGGGAATTTTCTTACTGCTTGTTAAGCACTGCAGTAACTTTGAAGGACTAAACATCATTGAAAGAAAAATCTTTGTGTTCTGTGTCACTCATATCCACAAAGTTTGCACAGGTATAGTAATGAATGCTGTCTAATGAATGTAAATTTACAAAATCCAAACTGACTTTGACAACTTTTGTGAAATGCTTTAACCTGTAAATTATAGTTGTTTGTCACTGTCATTATTTTAGCACATCTGCAATATTTAGCAGTTATACACATGCTGGAATACAGTTTGAGCAAGCAGATTTCATCATGAACATATGAAATATATGCCTTCATGTTAATGGCCAAAAATGTGGTTAAGAAAAATACATTTTTCTTAAAAATAATCCTGAAGTTGAGACACAGAGCTCAAAGGAACATGTTTTGAAGGGGCTTGTTTGCATGATTTCTCTTCTTTGAACCACTTTGTTTTGTTCTTAAACACTAAAATATATTGTCATTACCCTGGGGCTTTGTGTCTTCTTTTATGAGTTTATGGATAAATGGAAAATCTGTGATTAGGCAGGTTATTTCCAGGACAGGGAAAAAAGAGTAAGTCAAAAGGAAGGCTGTGTATATTCTGGATCTTGTATTTGTTTCTTGGGAAAGCAACTGTGTGAGGTTATAGAAAGTGAGAAGTTTAGGTGTGAGTGATTTATCCCCTGCTTATTTATATGCTCCCAAATTTCTGCATTTGACCTGTGATGCTGTTGGGGTGGGACTTTGTTCAGTGCTAAACCCCATAGCCTTGAGCCTCAGGGGAGGCTTGCAGAGCCCCCCAAATGCATGAGCTGGCTAAGAGTTGTTCTCAGACCTCAGGGGAAGGCAATTGATGGAATTTCCCTGTTGGCGCTCACTATGAAAAATGGCTGTGTGGAATACTCTTCTTCAGAGAGCACTGCAGGAAACAAAATGAAAAAAAGTATTTTCCACCTAATTAGTGCTGCTTGCCTTACTGGAGGAGGTTCATGCAAGTGGCTTTTTATATTATCTTTTTAATTAATTAATTACTTTTTTTTCCCTTCTTCCTTCTGTGTTGCAGATATACGTGGACTGCAGGGATTTCTGGACCAGGCCTCCAGGCTGGGACTTGATGTATCATTACAAAAAGTGGACAGGAACATCAGCAGAGTGTTTTCCAACCTTTTCACCACCATGAAAACGGAGGAGCTGAACCGCTACCGGGACACCTTGCGAAGGGCCATCCTCCTCCTGAGCCCACGGGGAGCCCAGACTTTCATTAATGAGGTCAGTGCACAGGTTTTTTATTATCATCAGCATTTCAGAAACGTGATTATCACCCATGTTTTGCCCTTTTGACAGTGCTGGTTGTTTAATGTCAAATAAGATCGTCAGACTCTAGTGCCAGGGAATTGCAATGTCACATGCTCCATGGAATTCTTGCTTTGTGGTTAATGCAAATGGGGCAACATGGGCCAGATATTATATAATATAATAAAATACACAGCTCTCTAGGGGGTAATCATTTTTGTATGGTTGTCTTCTGTATCAATACTTTTGCCCTGGATTTCAACCACTGTTAATGAGTGACCAGAAAATCTGCAATAATCTATTAGAGATGAAACACAATGTACCTGAGAGAGCTGTCTGCTGTGGAAGTCTCCAAATTTGTATTAGAGGGGCACATTACTAATGGTTGCAAGTTGAATCAGAGATTTTTTATGAAATATAAAGTTGGAATTATATGTTTGTCTTCTTTTCTTAGTGCTTTCTTGAAATCAGTGATGCTAATTAGGACAGGGAGGTAGCTGTTGGGCAAACTTTTAATTAATGTGCTGTGGGCTAAGTTTTGGCATTAATTAGTTTTATCCAGCTTTCTTAATATTAAATAATGAATTATTTTACAGTGCTTTCTATGTCAGAATTGAGAATCAGAGTTTGAGCCTCAGTTTAAGTTTGTGTATTCATTAGCTAAGATTTTGGCAATAAAGTAGGGATTTGAATTTTTTTTAACTAACCAGGGATATGACTGAACCAAGAAATTAAAATGTGGATGGGATGTGTTTCCAATTATCAGTTTTGCTCCATCAAAGCCTGTTAAATTAAAAAAAATCAACTCAAATTAGCTCATTAGGGTTTTTTTTTTTTACCATAACAGCCTTAGTAAATTGTCCACATTTGTGTTCATTAGAGATTTTTTTAAATAACAAGGTAAATTTTACCTTAAATAAACAAGGCAAATGGGTAGTTTGGAAAAGACTAAGCAGAGGGATAAATTCTCCTCAGGTTTGTGCACACACAGGCATTTCCAGTAGAAGAATGAGGGAGTTATGTGCTCTCCAAGTGTGTGCAGCTCTCCACAGCTCAGTCAGCTGTTTCCACAGGAGAGCTCCAGCAGAAATGCACATTGCCAGGGACTCCTAACAGACTCTCCAAAGCAGGTTAAAGGGAAATGTTTTATCCAGACCCCAGCTGGGTGGAAGCTGTGTCCCCCTTGGGCACACAGGGCTCTGGGGTTGTTGGGTGAGCCAGGCGAGTGCCCCGCCAGAGCCCTGAGGTGTCTCCAGGGTAGGGGCCAGTACTAAACTGTATTAAACTCTTTTACTGCTCACTTCACCTTAAAGCACTGTGCATTACAGGCATTAAGACTAATGACCCTGATGTATTTCCAGCTCCCTGCAGGAGTTTAACAGTGGGCAGAAATGAAAAGTCATTTATTTGGCAATCTTCCTATATTGAATCTTGATTGATTCAGAAAAGCTTTTGAAGAGAAAATTTAAATCTTAGAAAGTAATTCTCCAAAGGCTTGAAGATACAAGGTGCAGAGTAGGGGAGAATCCTTCCCAGACTGAACTTATATTTTGTGGAGAGTTACACTGACTGCTTTTCTTCAGTATCTCAGTCAGTAAGTGCAACTAATTATCTACAGCACATTTTCAGGGAGTCTAGAATAACAACCAGCAGCTTAAATGAAATACACATTTGTATGTATTTTACTGAAATGCATCAGTCACAATGTGTGGCAGTAAGTTCCTTTGATGGCTTTACTCAATTCCACAGTTGGTATTTTTTACTATAGGTACCATGCTGCTCTATACTTTCTGCTGTTGTTATCAATCTCACTCTACACCTTGGAAATTGTTTGAGATTTTTTTTTTTCAGTTTCTGGGGAAAAAAAGCCCTCTGAAAAAAATCTAAGTAGCAATGCTAGAAGAAAATATAAGGATGTTATTTTTTGATTTTGCATATTTATTTTCCCTTTTCTTTAACTCCAGTTAGAAAAAGAAGTTGAAGAACAAAGAGGTTTTAAATTTGGAAATGGAAAATTTCATGTGAAAAAGAGGTTTCTTATTAAGATTTTCAGTTTTGAGTTGATATTTTGTGGTAGGGAAAACTATCTGACAAATTTCAACCAGATTTGTTAAAATGTGTTGGCTAATAGCATATCCTCATGAAAACCAGGTGCTGAACACCAACCCTCTGGTGAAATGCAAAACAAAAATAAGAGCAGTGTTTGAAATACACAGATTTAACAGATTTTTCTTAGCTGAAGTCATAGATACCAGCTATTAGAAGCTGATACAAGATCTATTTAGCCTTGTTTGATACTGCAGTTGATTTTTTTTCTTCCTAAAAATACAGGTCTAGGTTTCAGTCTCATAATGTCTTTGGTGGGCCAGAAAGATCTCATTTGATTTTGGATGTACAAAGTTAGGGGACTTTGCCATCTCACGTGTGGAAAACTTTTGAATTGTGGAAGAATTCAATTTCTCTAATTTTTGTGTAGACATGGTTCTCATTGAACTGTCTTAACATCTCAGTGCCTGGTTCTCTCATGTGCCAAAGTTACTGCAGTAGAAATTATTGACCTTTCCTAAGTTTTCAAGATTTAGTATTTTGTTATGAAACTGCTTTGATTGTAAGAATGGAGAGGAGAAGGAAAAAAGTACTTTCAATGATATTGCTACAAACCTGGAATCAGCCTTTATTCAGAACAGGGATGGTAAATGCATTTATAGAATGTTAACCATCTTAGGCTATGCATTAAAAGGGCATTTAGGGATTGAAGCAAACCTAATCTTAAGTGTCTCTCCTTAAACAGTTGAGAAAAATGTTCCTTTCTCCATCTGTAGAAATCCCAGATATATTTGTCTCAATCGTAACAGGTGTATGTGTGCCAGGAAAACAATTTTGTATTTTGAAAAATATGTGATCCTCTTGCAAGGCGATAAGAAAAACTAATAATTCAGAAATGGGAAGATTTAGCACTTTTACCTTTTCTGTTCGTTTCTTTGGCCCAGACATAAGAATCTGAGACTCTTAAAGGCTGCTTCCTTGAGACAGTGAGGATTCACCTGCTTCTTTCACTTAGCAATGGATGTGTTTTTTCCATTTGCAAGTAGAGGTGTTATTTGTATGGATTGCTTTTATCATTAGGGCTGTACAGTGAAATGAATAAATGGAAAGAAGTTCAAAGAGGTGAAAAAAATGATGAAAGGATGGGAGAGCACGAGCTCTGAGGAGAGGCCTCAGGAACACTCCATATACTGCCTGCCTGGGGGAACAGAGCTGCCAGGCACTTGAGAGGAAACATGAGCAGAGGAGGAGGAGGAATTATTTCAGGTGATCATGGCATGTCTAACAGGAAGCAATGACCCAAAGCTAAAGAGGGAACAGGGAGGTCAGTCGGACAATGGGAGTGCTGGGCAGGAGAGTTCAGGGAGGCACCGTCCTGCGGGGCATTCAGGAGTTCACTGGATAAAACACTCTGGTAAATCAGGCTAGCAGGTTGTCCTGAGCTGGTGTGCAGGATGTTCTGGGTGACCCAGGAGCCCTTCTGAAGACCTGCCAGGAAACATGTGTTGTGTGAATAAGTTTAGACTTTTTATATACAACCTATCTGAAGAGGAGGAAAAGATCTTGTAGTTCAGCACTTCTCAAGTTTCCTGTGGCAGGTGAGCAGTTCCTGACTTTGTGGAGGGTTTGATTTCTTAATTCTTCAAGAACACATGGTTTATTTGGGACATTGATTTTAATAGAATTTGCCTTTATAAATGTAGGTGATATCAATTGCTCCATAGACTTTACTCTTCCTTCTTTGCAGTATTTATATACACACTTTGCTTTTGAACACCAGTAAAATGGAGGCTGTAACCCAGTTGCATGTAGTTATTGACTTGAATATAGAAGGCATTATCAGCTTTACAAAACCTTTAACTCAGCATTAGTTGTATTTTTGGCAGCTTCACTGAAGTTAAAAATGTTTTTGTTGAGGTGGATCTCTGAAGGTGCTGTAGTTCCTTGTGAGCCTGCATTGGCTCTGAGCTGGTGAGCTGACTGCAGGAAGGTTGTGTGCATATCCCTGCAGCACAGCAGCCTAAAGCAGAACTCTCTGCATGCTTAGGATAGTAAGCAAGTTTAAAAAAAGAAGACTATAATAAAAGAGAGCAGATTAATTCCTTTAAAAATTAATACAAAATTGCTTTATCAATGTGGCAGGGTTATGTGAATCACAGCAATTCCAATTTGAGCTGAAGCTAAAAATTTCCAGTATAACACTGTGTTAAACAGCTGTAATTTATCTCTGCCCTGTTTATATAATCACCTCAGTGTCCTCATTGGAAAGGAAAGCCTTCTCTGTTTCTCTTTCACCCTAGTTCCTGCTAAATGTTTTCAGTGATTCTTTATAGATATCCTGCTTTTGGTTTGGGCTTTTGGGGTCATTTCACAGTTATTTGTGGCCTTCCTTCCATCCTGACCACTGAAGATGCTGAGCTCCTTCCTCCCAGAGCACTCTCAGTTGGCACCTGTTAGAGAACCATGCTCCAGCCTTCTCTTCCCTTCTGCAGTTGGTGACATGCTGCTACTTGACTGGAGCTGAATGAAGTATTTATGGCATCTGGAACAATTTGCACCCACAAGCAATTGTATGAAATAGTTTTCTGGGGACATTCACTTCTCAGAATTTAACAGGAAAAAAATTCAATATTAGTTTTCTGGCACTTAGCGCTTCATCTCTCTCTCTCTCTTTCTCTTTTTTATTTATCTTACAAACATTCAACATATTAGTCCATATCTCTGTTTTATATGCAGTATACAAACATCTCGAAAAATTGTTGAATAATTTTGGGAAAAAATAATATGCCTCTTCTGTTTTTAGAAGTCAATTTCTATGTTTAAAGAGCTGCTAGTGATTTGTGAGTGCTGCTAACAGAACTGTAGAAATAATCCATTCTTCTTTCAATAGTTCAAGTTAAATTATACCCGCCTTATTTCTTCTAAATCCT